CTTCCTGTAGTCAGCCGCTGGTCAGTTTCAGCAGCGGCTGAATCTGGACGCCAGTTCCGACTTACATACAGATTCAACTTAAGAACAAACCTACAGTCCCTATCTTGTACATAACCCGGGGACTGCCTGTACTTGCATTTAATTGTTGGCTGTTATTTAATGAAATGTGGGTTGTCCCTTATGTCACCTCCGTGATAAAATAATGTGATCAATTAATATGATATGTGGGGATTAAGAAATGTATTTGGTGATAAAATAATTTTGTATTTAAATCTCTCAAAAAGGATCATATAATTCATTTTTCCTCTTATTTCTGCATATATTCACTTGAGCAGTAGTGCACAGGGAAGATTTTTTTCAGTTAAGGTCCTAACATGCTTTCTGGCACTGAGTTTTTTAAATTTGGGGGTCTCTAAAAAAACTTTGTAATTTCTTTGTCTCATTTCTTCATTTCTTTTTCAGCAAAAAAATCTTTTGTTTCTAGTTTCTGTATTTAGGCTGCATTCCAGCAACATTTTTATAAGAAACTTTAGATTCTCTGTCAGAATTTCTCTTTTACTGAAGAATTTAATTAAGATATACTCAGAGATATTTGTAATTTTTATCTTTTAACACATAATGCTACCTTTAATATGCTATGGGGATGGCCTAGTGGCCAAGAAGCATTACTTTTGAAATATCTAGGCTCCCTGGAACCAGAGTTCAGAGCAGGACTGAGTGAGCGCTTTACCCATGGGATGTAGAGAAATTGAATTTGAATGTAGTTTCTTGTCCTTGAATACCATAAGATTCCCTGCTACTTCCTGAAAGTAAGAGTTGGCTAAAACACTTTCTTCAGGTCACCCTTTTCCCTGTTTTTCATCAAGATTTGAACTGGTTTCCTTGGTTTCCAATTGTGACTACTTCAATTGTGCTCTATGTGAAATAGTTTAGGATGAAAAGTGCTATATAAATATACATTTTCTACAGTGAGATAAGGATGTTAAGGACTAGTCTGTCAACTAGTCGATTCCCCCCCCCCCCTTGCTGCCTCTATAAGATAGGGGCAGCATGGGGGGGAGGGAGGGGTATTTCAAAGCAGCAGCGCCGCATAGCTGAGCCGGGGATCAGCTATGCAGCGGCTGTCCCTTTGAAATGCCACTTCCATATTTCAAAGGGGCAGCCATGGAGCCCGGGGTAAGCGGGGGACTTCCCAGCTGACCCTGGGCTCTGCATGGCATGCAGTGCAGCATGGAGCCCAGGGTCATTGGGGGATTCTGAGTCTCCTGCTAACCTTGGGCTCCATGGCTTTGAAATGCACAAGAGTCCCCAGAAGGGACATTTCAAAGCAGGCATGCTGTGTGCAGCCCAGAGTTGGAGGGACTTCCCGCCTGGGTTCTACGCCCTGGGTTCTACGCAGAATTCCGCATTCCTCCTTTGAAAGGAAGGGGCTCTTGTACATTTTAAAGGAAGTACCTATCGACTAGTCGAGTAGTGGATGGAAATTCCATCGACTACTCAACTAGTCAGTTAACCACAATTTAACATCCTTGCACTGAGAAGTCTTCTTTAAAGAAATAGGACATAGCTACTATCTTGTAAAATTTGCCATTAAATTAGACCAGTGATTTTCAATCTTTTTTTCATTTGTGGAATCTTTAAAAGGTTTCGAATGGTGATGTAGACCCCTTTGGAAATCTTGAGCCATGTCTATACTTATGCAGCAGTTTGAATTAAGATATGCAACTCCCAACTACGTTAATTGCATAGCTGAAGTCGATGTATCTTAATTCAAACTTTGGCGCCATCTCCACAGCGGGAGGTTAACAAGAGCAAATGTTTCCATCAACTTCCCTTACTCCTTGCAATTCGAGAGGTACTGGAATCAACTGGGGAGCCCTCAGCATTTGATTTAGCGGGTCTTTATTTAGACCTGCTAAATTGAACTCAGGAAGATCGACTATCACAGAGTAGATCTTTAAGGAAGTGAACACATGACCTTGGGCTGAGGACACCCAGGGATCTGTGGATCATAAGTGGAAAATCACCAAACTAGACTATCTCTGAATGGTGACAACAGGATTACCACAAATACAGATTTGATGATACTTACATTACATATTAAAATAACAGCATGATACCAATTTCAGTCTTGTAGCGGACATTTTTATCCAGTGAAACTTCACTCTGTGGACAGAGATAGGAATTTCAGATCTCATTTTCCTTGCTGTTGCTGTAGACTTTACAGGCTTCCCTTAAAAATATCAAAAGTAGGCTTCCTATATATTCACATCATAGAAGCAAACAGAATTAAGTTATGTAATATAGTTGAGGGATTTTGCATTCCCTTTTTAGAGTCCCCGATTCAGAATTGCATTGCCTTTCTCCCTTTTAAAATATTCTTAATCTCTCTTTAGGAGGAATATGCATTACAGTCAAAATCTGTACTCCTGCCATGGAGGTAATTTCCCTTGCTCCCCCAAGTAAAAATTTGTAGATATATTATATCTCTGTACTGAATCAGTTGGAAGCACAGGATTCAAGGGAGAGAACCTAGATAGTCTTGCGGTGTTATGAATTGGCAGGGCTGTCCTTATATATGTTTGTTTTCTGATTGGTTAATTGAGATAAAATCTCCACAGGTGGAAAGTCTTTGATTTTAATTGCTTTCAGGGTGTCTCTCTCTTTTCCTCACCTCAGGCAACCATATTTTGTCAGGTAACCCAAGGGTGTGAGGTGTATCTGCTTTGATTTGTTTCCTCTATAACAATTGTTGATTAATTTATTTTTTTAAACTCCCTTTCAGATGAAAGAATTTCGCATTAAAATGCAATCAGTATTTCCAGCGATTCCTAAAAGTGCAGAGCAGTCAGTCGAATGGGAAGACTTACTGAAATCCAAATGAAAGGAGAAGAAAGGATTCAGAATCAGAAGGACTGCAGAACTTGTGGAAAAATCCCATCTAAAAAAATAAGAACGAAAATCAGACTGATTTGAATGCATGGAAGTGAGCAAATTAGTGATTGCAGTTGGTAAGCATGGGGACAGAAGTTATTATTTTAACAGCAAGAAAACTTACGTTTTTGCTGATAGTTTTTCAGCATTGTCATTAGAGTTGAATTGTGGAGAAAAGAACCTTACAGGATAACTCGGGCTGAACTAGAAAGAAGACTATAGCTGTATGAAAACATGATTCAGGAAAACAAAACAAAAATAAAACATGAAACTGGTCTTAAGTAGATATTTACCATAAAATATAGTTGCAGCTCTTAACCTCTCTTTCTTCTTTGAGAAAATTCTAGGTGGTTTGGAAAATAAGGAACAACAGTAATTTCACTGACATTGACCTGTCTTATTAGGAATCATGGTGGCTGAGTCCATCACATTAGATCAGTTAATATAGTATGCAGGAAAGGCATGTAATGAGTTACTCAGTTATTGAGGACAAAGGAGATGTCTGAACATCACCTATGAGGGAGGGCTGAAAACATCCAACATACTAGGGATGTGCAGGAAAGACCTATCTGCTTTTCTCTATAAAGTGAAGGATAGTCTTTCTATAAAATGCACTTCTGACCCATTGGCTATTTTTTGGGGATGCTGTAACAGTGGGGTCTGATAGCTTGTACAAGAACCTTTCATGAAAATTAAAATCCTATAAAATAGTGCAACATCTGGTCTGCCCTACGCCACAAACACTTTTCAGCTAAGAAACCACGTGGGCAGGTATAGTTTTCAGTATTTGTATGGTTCCTATGGCTCTGCTACCTGGTGAGTCCTAAGTAATGTGTCATTTTTCACGCTGAAATTATCTCATTGTGTGGGTGTAAGCAAAGGAAGAAAAAATGTCTAATTCAAATGTATTTGCAGAAATGTAGATTTAAAACAGTTGTAAAAATATTTTAATATGTAAATTCTTCCAGTGAAACAATCTCATGCTGAATGCTCAATTATCAGATTTTTTAAATTAATTGCTCAAAGTCCAATTAGTCAGCCATTAAGTTTAATAAAGTGTTCTTGAAGTATAGCCTTTGTGTTTAAACCTTTTCATTTTGAGGAAAGAATATTTTTTCAAAAATCTTAAAGGTCAAATGAATCATAGAGTAGCAGGGTTTCTTGCTGTAATATACCACAAGGATATTATCTTTGAAGCAACTGAAGTGTAATAATTGACATAATTTAAATAGTTTATCCCATGCTGTGCAGTATTAAACAAATCATGGTGAATCTATTCTTTAGCACACAAAGATGGCATTCTTTCAGAATATGGCGTCTTGGTGCTGAGTTGCCAAGATTTAACAAAATGGATGCGCCATTTGCAAAGCCAAAGACAGTCACGTTCTTAAGATGGCTACGCTCTGGCTAAAGTACATTCTTGCTCTTGCTTCCACACAGCTAATGACATTCTTAGGAATAGCTCATATGTGCTAGCACCTCTAAAAGGACCGGATTCTATCACACTTAAGAATCACCTACACTAGATTGATTTCTTTGGTGTTTCTAAATTCCATAGCAGTTACTAATTTTCTCTTTCTAAGCCCCTACGAGTAACCACTGTTATTCTAAAGCCTGGTCTACGCTTTAGAGTTAGGTCAACACAAGCTTCCTTGTGTCTATTTAGCTGTGAACTGCTTTCACTTAAATTTGACTTCCACAGACATAAGTGCCTCTCTAGTCCAATTTAGGTCTTGTCTACACTTCCACAGGCTGGTGATCTAAGTTATGCAATTTCAGCTATATGAATAACAAAGCTAAAATTGTTGTACTTAGTTCTGTTTACCAGGGTGTAACATTCTCCCATTGACTCTGCTTGCTTTTCACATTCTGGTGGAGTACCAGAGTGGATGGGAGAGCACTCAGCGGTCAATTTATCACCTCTTTAGTAGAGAAGATAAATTGACCCTCCCCCACTGGATCGATTGCTGCCTGTCGATCCAGCCATGTTACTGACTGCCCATGGCCATGGGGCAGAAAGACTAAGAAAAGAGGTACCTTGCCACAGTACCTAATGGTGTAAAAACAAACAAGAAGTCCTTTGAGTCTCTCAGAATCAGGAAGCCTGTACAAGAATTGGTGGATCTGGTAGCTCATTGCTTTCCCACTTTTAAAAAAGTTATTTGCTTTAGACTACTCTCTGTATCAAAACCATAGTCAGGATGGAGAATAAAATCCAAGAAAGAGATGTAGGCCATTTATAATATCAATTCCTCCAATGTAAGGGGCTATAGCAATATAAAGTCATCTGGATTAGCTATGGAAAGATTCAGCCTGCCTCAAGGCTTCTTCACTTTTATGTAAGGGTATGTCTATCCCACACAGCTTTTAGCAACAAGACTCTGTCAACACAGCCTTGTTGCTAAACGTCAGCGTGTGTGAATGCTTTTTGTTGACACTTTTGCCAACAAAATACTTCTGCCACCTACGAGGATGTTTTGCTTTGTCTGCAGGAGAGTGTTCCTGCCAACAAAGCAGCGTTCACGCTTTTGCTTGCTGTGGCAAAGCTTTGTTGTTCATAGAGAGCGAGGGGAGTTAAGCAATCCCATTTGGTAATAAATGAGACAAGCTCTCTCATTAACAGACGTCAGTCCAATAAAAGTTATTACCTTGCCTCTGATACCCTGGGACCAACAAGGCTACCACAACACTGCATGCACCTTCAGTAATAAGTCATGCAAGCCTTATGAATTACATATGAAGTCTGTCTGTAAAACTATTATTCACAATCCCGTGTTCCTATGAAGGTGTGGTTGGCCTCACTTTTCCTCAGCTACTCATTTTGTAAAAAAACAGGGCATGTGGGTTTATAGGGATGCAAAAAACCGAGAACAGGTAATGTACATGGGAAAATAATGTACATATTGCACATTCATTCTGAAGGATTCTGAAGTGCTTCCCAAGAGATATATATAGCACTCAGGACCGTCAACTCTCCCTGCAGTAGAGGGTGCAAATGAACATGAAGCCCGGTGCTTCTCTGCAAGAGAGGGACTATTTGATCCATGATATCTGGACCTCCTTCCTACTCTGACAAAAAGTCTCATGGGCCCTTAAGGGCCTGATTTTGACACCTTCCACTGATTTAAACCAGTCATGAGGGTTGAGCACTTCTTCAAACTCAGGCCAGGAAAATACATAGAGCAGGCAGGGCCTTGGTTTTTAAGGTTTCATTCAAAAGCCTCAGTTAAGGATGAAGAGCTGAATCAACACTTCAGAGTTTGAATCTGTTGCTGTGAGGATTCTAGATGTTTCAAACCTGATGAGCAGGCCAGTAAGCAGTCCCATCTGGGTAAAATGGTCTGTATTTGGAATTAAGCTGACAGAAGTTTTTTGTAATTTGTCTATTTCTTTTATACCAGGGGCATAAACATTTTTCCCTCTCATTAACTAATTTAACAGCTAATGTTATCCTTTATGTGAGCACCATCTGTGTATTGCATTCTGAATATTCCTGGCTATGGAAGAATAGAAATTATATGGAATTTCAACTCTGCCTTTTTGTGATTATCGTGGGCAGAGGATGACAAACAATCACATTTATCACCTCAAACACACTGAATCACTCTATTAACCAGGAAGACATTTTTCACAGACTTAAGAAGGAAGAAAGCAGATATCTCTCCAGAAACAATCCGTGTCATGGGTGCTAAGCACTAGAAATCGAAAGGGGTGAATGAGACAAGATATTTCCCTTTTACGTACAAATCAAGAGGGATTTTAGTCAACAAAACCCATTTTAGGGGTTAAACCTGAAATCTTCAACTTGCATGTATAAAAGAGCTTTTGTAAAAAAGCAGAAGAAAACTTGGCTTGAATTAATTTTTCCATGCATAGAAAAAATAAATTTTCTTTGGCTATTTATTACTAGCAAACAGGGTTACCGGTAATTCAAATTTCAAGAGAACAGCTGAGTTATTCATTATACTGGTACATAGACTACTTGGCCTCATTTCATGCTGTGTGTTATTCTGATAATCCAGGGAATGTGGAAGGACACAACAATTAATAGTTTAAGTATATAAGATAATATTCCTCCTATGGCTATCTAGCCTTAGACCACAACAGCATGAACTAAAGAGAGACACAACCAACCCTTACTGACTGTAAGATATTATACATGCAATGCTCAAAATTTTTTAATGCAGTGTTCAGGTTGAGTACCGATGTCTAGTACCTTCTAGAATGTGAAATACACCAATACTTAAAATCGCTGCAAAACAGGAAAAAAAGCATTGCACTAATACAAATTAAAACTTTTGAAAAATGGGAACTGACGCAATATGATCTCACCCCTATGTTAACTCTGCCCCTCCTGGAGCTATTTTAGACATAGGGGATTAACCACGCCTGATCTATGCCAAACAAAAGTTGCTACAGGTTTAACCTCCCTAGTCCAGCACCCTTGGGACCTGGCCAGTGCTGAACCAGAGAATTTGCTGGACCATGGGAGGGCAATATTGTCTAGCAGCATTACCAAGCATACATTATGCCAGCATAGGTTAAAGTAGATGGTTGCTAAAAGAAAATGCAAGAGAAATGGAGACTGTGTGATTGTCTAGCAGCATTACCAATAAGTTGTTCAGATACTATGGTGAGGGGAGCCACAGACAGACAGATGGGACAGGATAGTGTCACAGGAAGGAATGTCCTTTTTTTGAACTATCCGTGCTGATCCTCCACATCTCCTGAACTTAATAAACAAGCAACTGCTCCATGTTCCCTGTGCTGTGGGTCTGATTGCCCTCAGGATAAGATAGCAGAGAGCTCTGGCACAGAGCTGCCCTACACAGGATTAGGGTCTTCCACGTCCTCTGCAAAAACAGACACACATTTCCTCAAAGACACATAAATCCTTAAGCACATAGCTGGTGTCTCTCCCAAACTCTCTTCAGGGGAAGACAAGTGGCAATTCCCCACCCTGCCTTCAGCGACAGAACTCTTGATTACCTGAACCGCCAGCTACCTGAAGGTTTCAGGCCTCCCTAAGGACTTTTAGATAATTAAGGCTCTACTGTATTTTAAAGCTCATACTTAGCTGAGTAAGCGGTCACCATAATGTCTGACTGATGATATGATCAATAAGGGATGGGAAGATTAGCTACCACAGAGTAACTGGAAATGTTAATGGTCTCATACAGAAGATTTTGTTCATCTGTAGTTTCTATGATTGCATGACTAAATAAATAAAACCAATGAGGAAAGCTTAAGGTTCCACGCTGCCTTCAGTAAGAATGAATCAATATGGAATATACATTAAAGTTACTGTGAGTGGCCCCAGATGTTTAACTGATATACACAAAAATATGTGTCCTGGTAACTGTAGCTCTGTTTGATATGTATAAGGGTTTTAATATTTTATAACAGTGATAGTTGTGCTCAGTGAAAAGCGGCAGTTTCAAAAAAAAAAAAAATCCCAAGAAACACTTTGTCTTCCAACTCAGCATTATGTAACACTTCAGATTTGATACACACTCCTTTGAAGGGTTTGCCACCTGGTAACATTAGAAATGTCATCCAAAAAAAGATGTTTCATCTTTTAAAGTTGGCTTTAAAAATAGAGAAAGATATAGCTAGATATGATTGATAGATAACGAGTGTTAATGCTTCATCTAAAACAAAACCTGGAGCTGAATAAGAAGAGTGCAATAGAGGAGGGCATTGGGGAACACATTTCTTAGCCATCACACAAATTCACAGTGAAACCTAAGCAGAAATGCACAGAGTACCGGATCTGAAAAGAACGTAACATACTCTAGAAAAGGTAGAGATACTGCATCCTAATAAATTCAGTATTTTCCTCTGACATACATTTAAGGATTATTCCATACATTTTACTCTATCTCTGAATTCATTTTGGGTGGAAACCATTATACATTAATTATCCAATATGCTTACACGCCAGCTCGCCAGCTTTTTTAGGTTATTAAATGTCCGGTGTAAGGCAGCAATGTGGCAGAACATCACTTATAACAGCTTTGAATAATGCATTAATACTTTTCTATCCTGCATCACTGTACTATAAGGCATGCTCAACACTTAGGGGGAAAAAACCTTTAAATGTAGAGGGGCATAATCATGCCGTTTGGATTTGTTGAATGGAAAATGCCAATATCCTTAACTGTTGCAGTAAGTTTGCTTGAGTAACTATGGCAGGAATTAGTCAAAAATATTCTCCACATTATGGATTAAAACCTGAGAAGTTCAGAGCATCGTCAAGCCCAAGTGGACCCCAACCTGTGTAGCTATCACTCCAGTTTTCAATTATGTTTTCCATAATAAGTGATCCCTAATTAGAGCCCCAGTTTCTTCTGGCCCAATGGAATCACTGTGCAGAACTTGAGGGACCTCCAACTCGTGTCACTTTTAAGACCAAACATAAATTATGCCAGCATAGGTTAAAGTAGATGGTTGCTAAAAGAAAATGCAAGAGAAATGGAGACTGTGTGATTGTATCACATTATGTACTGTGCAAGGGTGGAGTTTTGGGAGGCTGGAGGAGAACAGCAGCCGTGTGTGCTAAGACCCGTCCTGCTTTTCATCTTATTCCCTGGACTATCAGGGAGTGAGGGGAAAGTACTTGCATTCTGTGTATGCCTCTCACACCCGGCTGGTGAGCTCCCCTTATTAGCTGGGCGTGAAAGGCATTCTCAGAATGCAAGTACTTTCCCCTCGCTGCCTGATAGTCCGGGGAACGGGATGAAAAGCAAGCTGCGTCCTGGAGCGCACAGCTGCTTCCCCCCAACCAATCTCTCGAACCTCTGCTCTTGGCACACTGTATGTGTGTGGGGAGGATAGTGGATTCTCTAAGAACATGCTCATTAGTATATAGATTTTAAAACGGAAATAAATTGTTGAAGCCATATGTGTACTGTGATAGTTTTAGTTAAATGGCTTTGTCAAATAGTAGGCCAGGAGGAGATGTATTCCCTCTTTGTAAGTCGTCTTTTCTCACAGCAGTGTTATTTTGGAATAACTGACGTTATTTCGAAATAACGAAGTGCATTTCTACATTGCAAGCTATTATTTCAAAATAATGTTGAGATGAAGGATCTTACTCTGACTCCTGTAACTCTCATTTCATGAGGAGCAAAGAAAATCGAAAGAAAAGTGTCCTTCCTTTGACTTCCTTCTGTCAGCACCAAAAGCCGAATTAAGCTATTTCG